GATTCCTCCGATCACGCCGTGCGCGCACGCTTGACAGTTCGTTTCTCTTCAGGCCCTCGTAAGTCGGCAAGAAGCATGCCAATCCACTATCTTCGAAGAACTGCCATAGCTCAACAGTGTTGATCTGAGCCAACCCAACAACTCTCCACAGTATATCGATACTGTGGTGGCAGTGAACATGTGGATGAAGCGCAGCAAAACGTGAAAGGAGCGACGCTAGCGACGTTCATTACTGCCTGCCCGACTTCTCCAATTCGACCACAAGACCACTGGATGTCGTCGAGGTCGTTATCCATGATTGATGCCAGGAAAGCCACACCAGCAGGCAACGAGTACGACGGCGCACGCAAATCCCTCAAACGCCAAGTAGTGAAGAGTCTAAGGAAAGACCGAGAGCTCTGGTGGACATCGAAAGCTCGGGAGATGGAGAAGGCTTTTGCTACGGGAAACAGCCGTGCCCTTTATCAACTGATACGATCGACTGGCCCTAGGAAAGCAAGGGTCAGCGAAACGATGAATGAAAAAGATGGCTTATTATTTCACTTGCAAAAACGTCGACTGTAGAGATGGGCCAAACAATTCGAACAGCGTTTCAGCTGGTCTCATGCAACACATCCAGCGGAGGTAATGCATACGGGCGAATGGAATGTAAACCTTGATCGCCCTTCGGAAGAAAAATAAGGTACAAAATAGCCTTACTGAGGCGTGAGAAGGCACTGGGACTGGACGGTATGCACTCAGCCCTCTTCAAGGAAGGCGGAAAATCCCTGGTGGCCCACCTGAGAAAGCTTGTTGGTGCTATATGGGACAAAGAGAATGTGCCTACAGTGTGGGGCATGTCGACGGTGATCCCCATCTTCAAAAAGGGTACGCCGACGCTACGTGAAAACCACCGTGGTATCAGCCTGTTAGCTGTGGCATCGAAGGGAGAGGCATATCCGTGAAAAACAAGCTAGATTCCGTCCTGCAAGAGGTTGCATTGATCATATCTTCACCCTCCGACAGATTCTGGAACAGCGACACTGCTTCCAGCAACCAACAATGGTTGTTTTTCTTGATCTAAAAGCTGCCACCAAGCACTGCGGCAGTGTCTGCGGAGCAAAGGTGCCCGCCGTAAATTCTTGACCTTCATTAAGGCGCTGTACGCCAACTCCCAAGGCCATGTAGAGGTTTACGGGAAGCTCTCTCCTGAGTTCACCACATCCGGTGGTGTCCGACAGGTCTGTCCTCTTTCACCTTCCCTCTTCAAATTCGTCATTGATACGATCATGGAAGACTCACTACCAGCCCCTTATGCCTGTGGGGTCGAAGTGCTCCC